CCAACCTCGTAACGTGGGAATACGCCGCGTTACATATACTGGGACCGCAATGTCCATAAATATCTCCCGAGAAGAACATAGTCCAAACAGTATCCTCCAAAACCTCACTGATGTAGATAATACATAAATATATCTCTCATGCATCAATCTCATGCATGCAACAATTCTACTACTTCTCAATGCATCAAAGAATGATATACCATATGCTCATGGTTTTTGAAAGTATTCTTGGACTCACGTTGGCCCTTTATGCATTTTTGGAAATATGACTCATGTGAAATGTCAAAATGCTCTATAACACGCTTCTAAATCATGTATAAACTAACATGAAGTATTCAAGAATATATCATCATGATCGGTTTGCAACATAGCAATTTCTATACATTTCACTCAACAAATATGTTTCTATTCTCATTGATCAAATAATACAATTTAATCATGCTTTCATAATAAATCATATTCTCAAAGGATTATGCTTCTCTACTCGATAAAATAACATCAGATTATAAGCTAAGCATTCTTCATATACAGAGAATTAAGCAAGTATGCACTGTGTGGAACTTCTTCAACAAATCCTTCACATCTTACTCATTTTTATTCCAAAATCAACGAAATCAAAGCTAAAACGTGCGTCGAGACGATCCCGAAGAGCCGAGCCACAAGGGCCCGTAACACTCGGCCCGAAACGACACGTAGATGAGCCACAAGGGCCTGGCCACTGCACAAAATTTCCTCAGAATCAAACTCAGGGACCTGGGGCGGGACTCCTCAAGAGCCGCCCCATGAGCCCCGTTACTCCAACGGGACTAGGCAACGGCCCTCCTCTAGGGCCGTGCCCTAGTCCCGTGTAGCTACGGTCCTAGCCGGCGGCCCTCCTGATGGGCCGCGGCTAGGGCCACTGGTTTGAATCTGGTGCACCCTATGTGTGCACCAGATGGCAATTTCATCTGCAAAACTCAATCAAACAAGTCCAAAACAATCTCAACAACTCACACACAAATACTAGATCACTTCTAAGCATAAACACAATAAAATCTCATAGTTTCTACTCATTTCTACTCAATACTAAGGCTTCACAGAGCCAAATTTCAAGAAGGAATATATCCATGGGGTTATACCTCTTGTAGTCTAATCTTCTTGCTTGGATTGCAGCCCCACTTCACTCAAGGATCTCTACTTCTTTCACCACCTAAACATCTCAACCAACCACACAAGACCTAAGTCTTAAACCTTAAGAAGAGATGGTATGTGGAGAAACTTAAAGAAGGAGGAAATGAAAGGAGAAGGAAGCTTACTACTAAGATGTTGCCAGCCAAGGAAGAGATCAGGAGGAAAAATGCCAACACTATTCTATTTATAAGGGTTCAAAACCCTAGGATGATTCACAATGATTGGTTGAGGGCAAAGGGGTAATTTCCCAAGCTAAAAGATGATTCAATAAGGGATTTTGGATGTCTTGTGGTCCACCATGTAACATGAACCATAGGCTAGAAATGATATTTCTTTATTACTTTGGGGGTAGAAAGTGAATTTTCCCAAAAGCTATATGGATGAACACTTATTCAAAATTCCCTTTTGAATTCTCCCAGTCTCATTCGGTTAAAATTCTCGATTTAAATCTTGGTACGCGAAGTACCCGAAAACATAGGGATTTTCGAATAGACTTTATTTCTTCGGTGTCGAATTAATTTTAAAATGCGACAAAATTTATTTTATTCATACACCGATTGATTGCAAAAATTTTTAATGGAGTGAAAAAGCTACTTTGGAATTTCTTAATACTGGATTTATAAAATTAAATTTTGGGTTGTTACACTCTATCCTCCTTAAAAGAAGTTTCGTCCCGAAACTTAGAAGGAACGGATCGATTTTCTCAAAACGGAAGCTTTCGAAAAGAGGGTAAGAATCTCAAGAATTGGCTTAGAAGTTTCTCTTGGAATAATAAGAAGAAATGGAATCTCTGAGTTCCAAACAAGAACCGAAGCAACTAAGGCGCTAAACTTAATCTAACTGCTAGAATTCACTAACTCAAAGTTTCTTTGTTGCTTCTCTCATTCTTATCGTTCTTACCACTTCTTTGGTCTCTACACTTGAACTTCTACGTTTTCTCTCATGAAAACTGAGAGTGTTTCACAAACACTTTTCTTTCTTATTCAGTAGCTTCTTGCTCGTCTTTACTAGGGTCAGATACCCACAATTCAATCTACTACAGATCACAGCTTCTCTTGCTTGAAGTATTAAGTTTTTCTTTACGAACTGCTTACCGTTCTCACTCGTCACTAATAGATTACAGTAACGAAAATCAATTCTCATAACTCTATTAAGTTCACTTCGACCATAGTTAATAAACTCCAACTACCACAACCCTCTGACTTCAACGTCATTAATTCCTCATTCGTTGCTTAATCTTCTATCCATTAATGTTAAACATCGACTCTCAAAATTTGCTTTGCTCAACGTACTCATTATCGACATACTAAACGTATTGTCGTAGCCTTTCTCTCATACCATTCATGGATACTCATCTTAGGGGTTTACCCATCCTTCTGACCATGTAATGTGACCCAACTCACTCTTAGTTCTCTTTATTGTAGACCAAATGTAGCAACTCTCTTTCAATCTGGTTCGGTGTATTCCTTTTTGGGGCTTCTTTACTAATTAGATGGTATAACTTATCCCTTTACCAAGCACTTCGTTATAAAACTTCTTGATACTACTTAACTATCCTTGTTACTTTTCTCAACTTGTTACTTATCTCTTGCTAGCCTTGTTCACCTTCTCCATCTTAAGGGATTCCCCACACGAGAAATACAATCATACGTTAGTCATCAGTGCCAACTTATAAGTCTCTTTTACTAAGTCTTTTTCAAAACTAATTATAGTTCGATAAACTCCGACTTGCACACCACTATGACAATCAATAATCACAGGCTAAAACCAGCAATCATAGCAACTTTTCTAAGCTTTAGAGTACTCTATTTATAAGACAGAGGTGAAGGTAGACAAGTAATCTTTCAAGAAATTCAAATATGTCTGTTACCCTATGAGTGACAGGTGTCCAATTATGCCATTGACTCCAACGTGATGCAAATGTACATTTTTTCTTTTCTACAACGACTTTTATCCTTTTCCTCAGAGTTTCTACGAATTTGAAAAAGATGGTGCAGTCTTGGGGCAGCAACAACGGCAAGCTTGGACTACGGGCAGCGAGCTTGAGCTGCGTTGGCATGCAAGAATCCGAACGCTTGTTTCGGTGACGGCAAGCAAGAATCATTTGGTAAACCGTTGGCTCGATTTCCTGTTGCCCAACATTATATTCGAATCAAACCCAAACTTCTCCTGCCAAGTTAAATGAATGTTGTTTGTTTCGTCAAGATTTCTGAATTCCTAATTATTTTTTCGACCCTTTTTCTGAATTTCTTCTGTTTCTTTAAATTTTTCGTGAAACTGTAACATTTTTCAATTTCATGACAGAAGCTCATCAAACTACTCAAACATCTGAAGTAACTCTGATCTCCTATCTTTCTTTGAGGTATGCCTACTGTACTGTCCGTGCTACCTTTTTTTTTTTTTTTTTTGTTAAAATGTTTAGCTTGAATATACTGAGAGTTTTCAGGGATGTGATACAAATTCATTAATTGTCTGTACATAGTATAACAGGAACATGAGGGTGTTGATCACTTCTTAGCAGTCACTTTAGTATGTAAGTGAATGTTGTAAGTGTACAGACTTAGTACACATTAAAACCTATGTTGGCTAATTTATTTTATTTTAATTTAATTAGATTTAAGTTAGATTAAGTTTTTTGGACCACTTCCTATCATCTAATATTAATTTGAATGGCTATGAATTATTGGTTGATTGAGATCGGAATGGGAAGTCAGCAAGGCGTGAAGTATGAGGAATTCAAAATAAAATGTGTGGTTGTGGTTCTTTGAAGATTATGTGATGCTAATTATGCGGATCAAAGTGATGGATTAATTATTATTATAAAAGAAAGTCATCCCATTGTGGAAAGCTACTGAATTGAGAACTGCTATATTGAGAGAAAGGAAATTCTACACAAAGCTATCATATTAATCATTTTTATTATATTATTTCTTGAGGGTTAAATCTGAGCTGCACAGTCTGTACCTGGGTCAGCTGAAGCTTCGCTTGAAGATTGTTATGGCATGCACGGTTCAGTCCTGTGTAGGTGTTAGGAAGGGTTGTGGTAGTAACAGTTGATAGTCATTTGTACTTACTTATTGTATAACTCCTTGGTGAACATCTATAGTGGATTGGGCAGAGAACAAGTAGAACTCTAAGTTACATCTTACATTCAAGATTCACGGCGCAATTTCAAATGTACACTGCTGAAAATTATGGAATTTCCGACAACCTGAAAATGATCTTAAATCAAGTCGAAAGTTTTGTTCTGACCACTTTTGGTGTCCGGAAAAACATTTATAGCTATTTCCGACCACTTTTTGCTTTCAACTTGATTTAAGATCACTTTCAGGTGATCAGAAATTCCATAATTTCCAGTAGTGGTAATAGTGTCATATCATGTATTCATGTGCTTAAGTTTTCAAATAATCTAAATATCGCTTTGAGAGCTAGTTTGAGAAGTCGGTGTTGTAATATGGTTTAATTTGCAGATGTCACTATAGCCTTTTTAATTTGAGAGGTCATTCTGCAGAGGTAATTGCTAGACTTCATTTTCATTTGAACACCTTTTCCACAGTTCTCATATTGCATCATATTGAATTGTGTGTTAAGTTTCTCTCTAAATAAAGTTTAAAATTTATATTTTGGTTTGAATTGATTTTAAAGTAGGGTGATTTATAAATATTTTATGTTTCATGATTCTTACGATGCATGTCGCACGTCTTCTCTCCCTACGATTAGGGTTTTTTCCTCCCACTTGTTATCATGGGTTATTTTCATGCATATCTATACGTGATCTATCCGTTCTGTCTACGATCTCAATACTGTATTTGCTTTGTCTAAACGTCAACATGGAGGACATCACTACTAGGTGGTCTGATATCACGTTGGATGACGAGGAGAGTGGCATACGTCCAGTGGATGAGGCTGATCTCCCTGTGACGACTACAAAGAAGGTGTGGACTCTTGTCGGCAGATTTCTTACAGATCGGGCGGTGAAGTTTGACGCCATGAAGGGAGTGATGTCAGCATCTTGGCGACCAGAGAAGGGTGTCAAGGTCGTGGAGGTGCAGGCTAACTTCTTCCCCTTTGAATTCTACCTGGAGACGGATGCCCGATTTGTTCTCGAACAGGGACCATGGGCTTTCGAAAACTCATCGCTCGTGTGTACCATGCTGGAGCCCGGAGACATCCCGACGTTGATCGCATTGTTGGAGCTGCCGATCTGGGTGCAGGTCTACGATCTACCATATGGTTATACGGCGGACCCTATCTTGGAACAGATTGGCAACTACGTAGGCAAATTCCTAAAGCTGGATACGGTGAATACTGGGCTGGGCAGAAGTTTCTTCCGTATCCGAGCCGCGCTGGACGTACGCAAACCAATCAAACGGAGGATGAAACTCATTCCGCGTGACGGTATGTGGTCCTGGATATTATTTAAATACCAACGTTTACATCGCTTCTACTTTTATTGTGGCATGCTTGGCCACATTGATCGGTTCTGTGCTCTAGCGAGGGAGGCAGTAGTCGATCCTGATAAATACCCATTCGGGACTTGGCTGAGGACAAGCTGATAAATACCCATTAACAACACAGGTTTCAACAATACTCAATAGACAACGGTTCAAAAATTATTGTCGTTTCTAGAAAAGACAACAGTTAAAAACCGTTGTCTATGTGCGTGACTTTTAACAACACCGGTTTCAACAACACTCAATAGACAACAGTTCAAAAACAGTTGTTGTTTCTAGAAAAGACAACGGTTAAAAACTATTGTCTATGCGCGAGACTTACAACCAGGCTTCAACAACAGAAATATTACCCCTACGACAATGGTAAAAAACCGTTAATGTCTATGTGCATTTTTGTTGTAGTGACAAAAGAATGTTTGCATACTAATAGTCTCAAATTACTACCATGGTGAATAAGCAATCTAAGAAATTTGACATGTTCTTGTATCTCAAAAGTTATGGTTTGATTACCCTTGTTACTTAGTAAGAGAAATCATAAACATTTTAGGATAATGTGTTTCACAAACCTTAAAACAGTGATCAAGTGTTCTCTTATTTGTACTAAGTCTCGTGTTCCTTATAGCAGACCCAAGTTCCTAACAAGTCATACTAGAGTTATTGAAATGCTTTTGGAGTTAATTAAAGAACCATGAAATATGAAGCTGGGAAGCCGTTACAATATAAGAAGGAGAATAATATGTGAATTTACTATTTTACCCGTCCAATAATAGAGGGTTATTGGGTTTTCCACCAGGTTGAAACGGAAACTTAACGTCAGGGACCAAACACGTCATTTCACCCATAACTGAGGCTTAAAAAATAAATACAATCATAACTAGGGGTGGACAATTCAGTTCGATTTTTTCGAACCGAATCGTACCGAACCGAACTAGTAATATACCGAAAAATAAAAAAAAATAATAAAAAAAAAAACGAATGGTTTGAGATTCTTGTAAACTAAATGGTTCGGTTAAAAACCGAACCGAACCGAACAGTTTGATACGAACCGAGTTGAATACCGTTTGTTTTTTAATAATAATAATAATAATAATAATAATAATAATAATAATTATTATTATTATTATTATTATTATTATTATTATTATTATTATTATTATTATTATTATTATTATTATTATTATTATTATTATTATTATTATTATTATTATTATTATTATTAAAATCCAAGTCCCTTGATGCCTGGTCCGCCGGTTAGTTCCTATTCTCACTGGTATTTCTCTTAAAAAAAATTATTTGATTTTTTTATGACTTGTCCTTCACATTGCACTTTTGTTGTTTGGCGCAATTGTGCTTTACCTCACAATTATATCTAACTTGAGTTACTCTTACAATAGCCAGTATTTTCCTTAGTTTCATATTTTTATGAAATTAATGTGCTTTAACATACATCATTCTAATATTGATTTCCAGTGCACTAATATTATTTTCTAGTACTGGAATATATTTTCAGTGCACTGAAAAATAATATTCCAGTGCACTAGCAATGATGGATTGTGTCCAAAAATTAACTATACAGTACTTGACACTTGTTTTCCAAATACTAACTATGCAGATAGATGATTATTCATCTTTTCAATAAACTATTCCAAGTGAGCCAACTGAAGAGTAGCTGGTTGTGCAAAAAAATCAACTGATGTTTAGTAATTAGTACTTGGTAGTGTGCTGAACTTTGGATTGCTATTTTGTTATATAATGTTTAGACTTTGGATTTGGACTATCCGAATATGTATTGTCTGGTAGTGTGTTTGTAAAATTAGGAAATATTAAAATTTTGTGTTCCTAAACTGAATCGAACCAATTCCGAACCAAACTGAACATTTTCAAACCGAACCAAATTATAATGTTAAACTGAATGGTATCATTTTTTTAATACCGAAATTGAAAAAAACCGAACTGACCCCTGAAATGCCCACCCCTAGTCATAACTGACGAATTGAGTCATCGATACGAATATAACTCATAAATTAAATATGTCATTTAAATAAAAAAGTAAAAATTAACAATCAATATAGTCATAAGGGAAAATGTCACTTTTTCCCCCTGAGGTATATGTTTATAGCACATTTTCCCCTCAGTTATTCATGTATCCACATTTGCCCCCTCAGTCAGGGGCGGACCTACAGTGGGGGCAGTGGGGTCAGCTACCCCCACTCACCCCCACCCCTTATATAACCATTTGTATATATAGTACAAGTTTTAGTATAAGTATTAGAAAATAGAGAAATACTAATAGGATGTGGCTTAGCCTAGTTGGCTGAGCGTGTGGTTGGCCTTAACATAGGCCAGGGTTTTGAATCCCCTATATCTACTTTCAACATTTTTCACTATTATTAATAGTGCATATTGCTACAACACAATAATTATTAATCTTTATTTATCATTTATATATTAATAATGAGATGAGATGTGTAATTTATAATGGATCTTTTATTCAAATTATTTTATCAAATTGATTATGTTCATATTTTGTTATGAATATTTTATAATGTTTTGATGTGTTTTATAATTTTCTTATATCCAACATTATTTATCTCTATACTTTTTAAGTGTTTCATTTTTTTTTAATTATCAATTTTACTTTAATATTTTGCCCTCGCTGAAAAAAATTCCTGGGTCCGCCACTGCCCTCAGTTATAGTAAAAGTGACAATTTTTCCCCTTTAATGTTAGATTGACATTTTTACCCTTAAAACTAAGTATTTTATTTATTTTTCTTTTCCAACAAATTATTGTTTATATATATGAATGACCACGTTTCGATTCGAACCTAACCAGACACTGCAGCAACTGAATCAAAACAGTAGAAACGGTTCTGGTTACGATTCAGAACCGAAAAAAATAAAATAAAATCAAATAAAACAATTGTTGAATTTAGATGATTTTAAAAATAAATAAATAAATTTTGACTGGAAATAAAATAAAAAAAATTTGTTCGAACTGAACCGTGGTCATCCATACATATAAGAATAATTTGTTAGAAAATAAAAATAAATGAAATACTTAATAGATTTAAAGGTAAAAATGTCTATCCAATATAAAAGAGAAAAAATTACCTCTTTTAATATGACTTAAGGGGTAAATGTGAATACATTAATAACTGAAGAAAGAAAAGTATTATAAACATATAATTGAGGAGAAAAAAGTGTTTTTTTCCCTAGTCATAATTTGCGGTGCAGCAATCAAGTACGGGAAAACGGTGAAGTTATTGGTGCAGTTTCTGTGGCTAGATTTGTACTTGTATTTTTACCATGCATTAAACGCACCGATTTTTCAGGCTAGATAGTTGCAACGTTTCAAACTTTAATGCATCCCATTTTTCTCAACCACTAACTACTGCTATCCAACCCAAAAATAAATAAATCATCACATTCTAGATCTTTCCTTGGAAACATTTTACGGTATTATAGATGTATTTTATTTTATTTTCAGTATGCATTTAAAAGAGTAATGAAATATTAAAAATTCTATAAAATACACTTTAGGTGAAATTCAATTAGATCAATTAAAACACTTCATATATAATTTCAATACAAAAATCTCAACAAGATGCGTGCACATAAGTTTTTTTTTTTTTTTTTTCAAACCACGAGATGTTCCGAATTTTTTCTGTTTATCATATTGTCCGGATCCACTCAACTAATCCTTGTAAACTCCAGGAGGCATAGAAGTTGGCCTAACGAGAATTGTCACTTGTGAGAATCAAAATCTAGATAAATTACTTAATAAAGGTGTACGCTCTAACCTAATGAGGTTGTACTTGTTAGTAATAATAATGTTATTAGAATATATCATATAGTTTATATGTATGTGATTGTAACTTAGTCACTTAATTCTAGTCTATAGTGTAAGAGAGTATTGTGTTAGCTTTTCAATAGAACTGTCTCATTGTAATCTTCTCAAACTGAATTTGATTTTGAATTACGTTCTCTCATCGTACTCTCTTATGGGCATAGGTGAAAGGCGAAGATCATATATATGGTTTCTTTTTGAGCCATTAGTGACGCACCACTCTAAAATAGCTAGCTAGAAATCTAGAATTTTAACTTTGCATCATGACTTACGGTCCAAGGAACAACTACAAAGTACAGAAGTAGTACAATTTCACTAAGATGGTGTTTGGCAAATAGATATTAAGTGATAGTCGTTAGCGAGTTTGATTAGTTGCTAGCACTAGTTAGTTGTCGAAAAATGTTTGATAAATTAACTGTTAGTTGATAGTTTATTGCATGCAAAATGACTTTTAAATGTATAATCTATTTTTCTTAAAAAGCTTATCAAAAAAGCTGTTTTGAACAGTTTTTTGAATTTTAACGTTTTAGACCAATAAGCTATTGCAAAAAACTAATTAATCAATTCAAACAATCATATATATTAGTTGTTTAACCAAGTCAAACAACTAATAGTGATCAAACAAGCCAAAATTGACTGATAAGCTAACTATGGTACCAAACAAGACTTAAGGGCATCACAATGCTAAGAGATTTTTTTTTTTTCCTTTCACGTCATTAAGAAAAAGGATAAATAAAAATAAATTAGCCAAAAAATTAGCAAACAGCTTGCAGCGACATAATGGATCGTTTACCAACTTGAAAAAATAAAGAATTTTTCAAAAAAATTGAAAAATTGAGAAGCGTAAACAAATAAAAATTAAAAAAATTGTTTACTAAAATCATTTCTCTCGTTGTCTAACTCCTCTCCATTTTTCAAATCTATGTATAATTTTGGAGAAACCCAATTTGAACTTCTTCAAATGGAGAAATGGGAGAAGACACGGATGAACAGTGATTAGGTGTGAGAGCCCGGTTATTTGATCCCTGCTATGCGCATTTGATTAGTTTCCTTTAATTTCCTTTTGTTCGTTCTTCTCTCTTTCTTTATTTCATTTCCTTTTCTTTTGTTCTTCTCCGATGATGATGATGATAAAAAAATTTACTTAAAAAATTTAAAAAGAGACACATGTCAACATTAGAAAGCAACCAACCTGCCAAATAAGTAATTTTGGTGAATGAATTCCTTGTAAACCTAGTTTAAACTTATTATCATACAGATATTGACTATTAAAACAAAAAATTGAAAGAAAAGAGGGAGTAATACACTATAAACTGAAATGTGGAGTGCACCATAAAATATAGTGATCTTTAATTTATAAATAGATAATAAATATGCCAAATACTTTGTTCTCAGATGGCAAGTAGTGAAAAAAAAAAAAATTATGCGAATGGTATTTTTCATTAAAATAAAAGTGTGATGGGTGATTATTTTTCTACAACTGCCACCGGCACCGGTGGGCGGTGGCAGTGTCACCTACTCACCTCTCTCCGCTGCACACACATCATGGAATGCATTTATTAACGTTCGAACTATTTTGGGAACTTTTATGTAGTATATCATTGGAAAAATAGTTAAATAGGTTGAGTTAAAAATTAATGAGTAAAATTATAGATTATTTTATTGTGTGTCCAAGGAATTTAAGTCTAGTATTACTCATTTTTAGTACTACTGACTCTATTACAATGTAATATTTGTCCATACATATTTTTTCAACTTATTGAAGTCAGTGTTGTAAAATTTGTCCTAGGCGGCCGCTTAGATGCCCCTAAGCCGATACGATTTCAGTCCTATGCGGTTTTTAGTTCGCTGGCTGACTAACCGGCCGACTAGGCGCCTTAGGCGCATAGTTGGGCGCCTAACTCCGCCTAGCTGGTGCCCAACTAGGATGAGCTTGCGCCCAACTCGACCAAGTAGTATTTTTTGCATGCTCGGTTGCTCCTCTTCTATATCCCTCCAACCATGTACTTAGGGATGGCAACGGGGCGGGGCGAGGGCGGGAAGTATACTCCCCGTCTCCGTCCCCGCGGTCCCGTTCCTATCCCCGTCCCCGTCCCCGTCCCCAGCGGAAAATTGAAAATACTCTCCATCCCCATCCCCGCAGAGAATTAAGCAGGGACGGGGATTCCCCATTCCCTTTCAACTTCTAGTCAAAATATTAAATAATTGTAAATTTTAATAATAAAATAATTTAAAATTTAACTTCTGTTTCAACTATATATATATATATATATATATATATATATATATATATATATATATATATATATATAGTGTAATTTTACACCCAAACTCCATGTTCAAATTCTAGTCCAGTGCACCTATGTAGTGAAAGTGTAGGTATATATATATCTTCTCCATTCTCGATCTTCAATTCACAACACAGAAAAAACCATGGCGGCTTTTACCTCCAAAATTCGCACTTGTCAAATCACAGCACTCTTCACCCTCCTACTCATCATACTCTGCTCCCTTTCGCCATCCTCCTCCGCAGCCAAACTGTTCAAGAAAATTTATGCGTTTGGGGACTCCTTCACCGACACCGGCAACACCCACTCCACCTCCGGCCCCACCTCCTTCACTTACGTATCAAACCCACCCTACGGCCGCACCTTCTTCCACCGCCCCACCAACCGCTACTCCGACGGCCGCCTCGTCATCGACTTCGTCGCCCAAGCTCTCTCTTTGCCCTTCTTGCCGCCTTACCTCGACCGCAAGGCCGATACCTCTTACGGTGTCAACTTCGCCGTTGCTGGCTCCACTGCCATAGATCACAGGTAGGTAAATCAAGCCGGCCTTAAAACAAATTATTACATTTTTAACATTGTTATTATATTTTCTCAATTTTTTTCCTCCAAAGAATCAATGGGCCTAATTTAGTTCTGTGACTACTCATTTAAAATTTGTAAAATAATTTCGAAGAAATATTATTATTATTTTTAAATTAATTTATATATTGATAAAAGAGATTAATTGTATACAAAGAATTTTATTAATAAACTTTTTGAAGGTGATGTAAAAGTGGAATCCCTCAGTTTTGGACATTAATACGTACTTTTTTTTATTAATAATTTATATTGTTTGGATCAGGTTTTTCGTGGAGAACAATATAAGTCTGGACATTACACCTCAGTCTCTGGAAACGCAGTTAATTTGGTTCAATCGGTACTTGGAGGGTGTTGGGTGCAGAGACTATAAAAGCACCCCAATGCAGTGTGGGCCAGTTTTTGACGATGCATTGTTTTGGGTTGGTGAAATTGGGGCTAATGACTATGCTTACACCTTTGGATCTTCCATTCCACCCAAAACCATTCAGCACCTTGCAGTCACTAGTGTTTCTTCCTTTATACAGGTTTGTATCTGCTCAATATATTTTCTCTATCAGTTTTAGTCTAAAGAATCAATACCCACCACCAGAGTTCAATCCTGTGACCTTTTTTTAAGGATAGCCACATAGATAGATGTCAATTGAGCACAAAGTAATTAGCTTGCAATTCATTTTTAATTACTCTTTAGAACATTTTTTTCACCTACGAGGCGCCTGATTGTAATGAAGGAACTGCAATTCTTCTTTACCAAACATGTTAGGATTTAGGAATAGTAATACGAGGCGTCTGGTTGCAATGAAGAAATTGCAATTCTTCTTCACAAAACATGTAAAGATTTATAAATAGTAATACGATACGTCTAGTTGCAAGGAATAAATTGCAATTCTTCTTTACCAAACATGTTAAGATTTAGAATTAGTAATACGAGATGTTTGGTTGCAAGGAATGAATTGCAATTCTTCTTTACCAAACATGGTAAGATTTAGGAATAGTAATATGAGGCGTCTGGTTGCAAAGAATGAATTGCAATTATTTTTAGCAAACATGCTATTCCAGAATCTGGAATAGTAAATCAGAGCACTATATCCATAAGTTCTTTTTGTCTACTTTTGATTTTCTTTAAAACTAGTGGACATATAACTATAAGGAAAGACTTTCGGTGTCACTACTTTTGGTGCTGCCCTGCCTAAAAAAGAAATAGGAAACAATTTTTTTCTTTTATTTTCTAACTATAATTATTTTGCTTGAAGCGATAGGAATATAAATAAAATTCAATTACAATATCAATTATCTATAAATTGAATATACTTGATAATTTCTAAGCACCAATACACGTATACAACCAATAATAATTATTAGTGTACCTCTAAATAAATCATATTTCACCTTTAATTCTCGATCACATTTAGTCTTATTTTTTTTTTTTAGTTTTGTCTATTCACATCATTGATTTTTATTTATTTTCAACAATTAGTTCTCCATTTAAAATTTTGTCATTCAACCGTTTAATAACAGAACTGACATGTAATTTTATTATTTAAGTATCTTGTTCCAACATGTAATTTTTCTCCCTGTAAACTCTTATAATTGAACGATGAAATTACATGTAGCCATTTTTATTAATGATACAATTTAAACGGATGACTAATTGTGATAAGCAACTGAAAATCAAGGATGTAACAAGGTACAATTAAAAGAGTGAGATTAAAAGTAGTACGTAATATCACGATAGTTGATGGCTAAAAGTGAAATTTGTTTTACTAAATCATAACATAACAAATTTCTTTTATTAAGATTACTATTAATAGAACTCAAACATTGATCTTTAGTCAAGGGTATTTCACGGAAAAGTATGATCCACACAGTACTGTGTGGATCGTAACAAAAAATATATTTTTAATATACTAACAGTACATTATTTGTGTATTGAGTGCACATTATATAAAATAATGTACTTTCAGTGCTCAAATAATATATTTTTTTTGAATATAATATACATTTTTAATATACTAAAAATATATTATTTGTGTAATGAATGTAAGTTATTTGATAGTATGATCCACACAACTGTGTGAACATAACTGTGTAGGCCATGGTCCCACAATAATGATTGATATTTCACCTATACCATTTGGGCTAAGGAACTTGGCCAGGTAATAATGCCTGTATAAAGCTTCAAAAATAAATGTTCGTTGAAATTTGTATGCTTATAAATGGTATGACGCAGTTAGTCCATACTGATATATAATAAATTAATTTAGTCAATAGTAGTATAGTATGAGTAGGTGAAGAGCACCTATCACTGGTAATGGCTCAGCTCATCATACGTTTGTGAATTAAATGCCCCACCTATTTGGTTGGGGGTTTGAAATTTTTTGTGTGAATGAAGGTGTAATACAATCCTCATGATCCATCGTGGTAATCAAGGGAAATTATACAATGGATCAGAATCCATCTTCATTGTGGATTATAATTCAAAACGATATTCAAATTATAGATGTACATGTATACAATTAATTTAGTATGTACATCAAGTTAACAGATTATATACATGAAAATAAATTAAATGTACATAATATGGAGTATGTTAATTGTAATAGCTCCATAATTTACTAACTGATGATATATAATATGTTAACTGTAGATACATAATATGTTAATTATAATATGTACATAATTATTAATTATAGTTACATAATATGTTAAATGTAAGTACATAATATGTTAATTGTAATATGACATAATTTATTAATCGAGCGTACATAATATGTTAGTTAATTGTAGATACATAATATAAATGTTATTTTGAACCATGGTCCACACTGCAACGTGCATCTTGTTCAATATAATGGTATAACAATTGGGTAATTGATACCAATAGTAGAGTTTAGAGTTAATTCCATTTTTTGTCTTAGATTTATAGGTGACAGTCCACTTTCAGTCATTCTTTTTCATAACACCCACCTTTGATCCTAGTATTATTGTGGCATGAACATTTTTGGTCATCCGTCAACAAAATCGATGAAATATCTTAAATACAAAGACATTTTGATCTTTTTTATATAAAGTAGGTTGACCTGCAATATTTTTATTTTTATTCTTTTTGAAAAAAAATCATAATTGAAGATCTAAATGCCTTTGTATTTTATCGAATTTAAACGATTTTATTGATGAAGGACAACAAATGGTTATACCACAATACTATTAAGACCCAAGGATCATGTTTTGGAAAAAAAAATAGTAAAAGTGGATTGATGTACACCTATAAATCTAGGAGCAAAAATAGAATTAACTTTTGAGTTTAGATTTTAAAATTATTCAAATAAAGTATAAGGAGATATATTACGAATAATACTCTTTGGTATAAAGTTGTCAAAAAAGTTGATAGGATATTTAAAAATTTCGTCTCAAACTAAAAATTTAAGTTAGTTGCACTATATATATATATATATATATATATATATATATATATATATAGCAGCGCTCAAGTGAGAACAGACGAACAGTCGTCCAGAAGAGAAATAAAAACCACTCACAGCCGTCCAAGTGTCCAAATCAACGAATCATATGTAATTTTAAAAAAACGATGCGGTGGTATTTTTGTAAACAACTCGAACTTTGGTGCAAGTAAATGTGTTACAAGTACAAGTAGGTAGTGCACCTTTACAAGTAAAAAGTGTAAGTAAAATCACATACAAATGCAAGTAATTTACTTTGTTAACATTCGTGCACCTAGGTGCACTAAATGATAATGTTAGGTGCAACTAATTATAATTTTAAGTGCACTTTGTATTGATACTAAGTAAAATGTATTACAAGTGCATGTAAAATGTATTATAGGTGCAAGTAAAATTTACACTGAGCATCAATACTAAGTGCACCTATAGTTATAAGTAATTGCACCTATAGTTATAAGTAGTTGCACTGATAGTTATAAGTAGGTGGATAGTTATAAGTAGGTGCACCTAGGTGCATGAATGTTTGCGGGAAGTGAATATTAACAAGGCAAAATTACAAGCACTTATAGGTGAAAGTAAGTGCACTTGTAAGTGATTTTACTTGCACTCCGATGTTCAATTAGTTACGAAAATGCCACCGTATTTTTTTTAATCTATTAGATCTGGACACGGTCGTGCTCTGATTCGTTCGTATATTCCCTGCTGGGCACTTATTCGCAACTGAGTACGTGCATATATATATATATATATATATATATATATATATATATATATATATATATATATATATATATATATATATATATATATATATATATATAATCACACTCAGGTGCGAATGCTTTGCCCAGGCGCGAAATAGGAATGGATTCTGTCCGTCCACGTGTCCAGATCTAATGGATGAGAAACACTGATTTTTTTAAAAAACGCAGTGGCATTTTCGTAAATAATTGAACATCGAAGTGCAAGTAAAATGTATTACAAGTGCATGTAAAATGTATTATCGGTGCAAGTAAAAATTTACACTGAGCATCAATACTTAGTTGCACCTATCGTTATAAGTAGTTGCACCTATAGTTCTAAGTAGTTGCACACATAGTTATAAGTAGTTGCACCTAGGTGTATGAATGTTTGCGAGTGGTTTTCAGGGGTATTACTACCCGCTTAACTCAGATCAATGAATGTTAACAAGGCAAAATTACATGCACTTATAGGTGAAAGTAGGTGCACCTATTGTTATAAGTAGTTGTACCTATAGTTATAAATAGTGGCACATATAGTTATAAGCACACCCAGGTGCATGAATGTTTGCGGAAAGTGAATGCTAACAAAGCAAAATTACATGCACTTATAGGTGAAAGTAGGTGCACCTATAGTTATAAGTAGTTGCACCTATTGTTATAAATAGTTGCACATATAGTTATAAGCACACCCAGGTGCATGAATGTTTGCGGAAAGTGAATGCTAACAAGGCAAAATTACATGCACTTATTGGTGAAAGTAGGTGCACTTGTAAGTGATTTTACTTGCACTTCGATGTTCAATTATTTACGAAAATGCCACCGCGTTTTTTTTTTAAGTTATTAGATCTGGACACGTGTCACGCGCTGATTCGTTCGCATTTCCCTCCTGAGCACTTATTCGCACCTGAGTGCATCCCTATATGTATATATATATATATATATATATATATATATATATATATATATATATATATATATATAATATGCTTAGCAAGCCCATTGATCACTTATATAGTCTCTAAATTCATAAACTTTCGTCTAGGTTTGAATTTGATACTATCTCCTAATATGTACTGCGTATTACATTTCAAAAAAATGTTAACTTAATTATTAAACTACGTTTTCAAAAAATATTATTAAACTAAATAGTTATTATTTATATATATATTAAGTAATTATTTAGATATTATGTTTATATTGAATGTAGGGGCCGGGAAAAAATATAGTTGATTGGGTACCACAAGAGACAATTGTTGTCTCCGTGATCAACTAGTAAGACGTTAGGTGAGATGCAAGTTCAGGAAAATATACTAAATTGTAAGATAGGATCGTATATTTGTATTTATTTCTCCTATTCATTTAATGACATTTTATTCATATTTACTATATATTTGTTCAATCTGTTCACTTTTATGCAATTTAGTCAATAACTTCTTAAAGTTATAATTTATTTTACAGGTAAACTAATGGTAATAACATGTAAAATTGAATTTTTTAAAAAATAATTTAAAATTAAACTTTAAAATTAAAAAAAAAATTACGGACTTCTCCTCCGCCGGCAATCTTTTTTTTTTTTTTTTTTTTTTTTTTTTTTTTTTTTTAAGTATTTTTAAATTATTTTTAAAAAAATTCAATTATAAATGGCTATTTTGTGATAGAAATATATGTGAGATGTGAGATTTACTTTTGATTTGGATCGGAACAAAATGAATTCAGATTTTTCATAGCCAAAGAGATTGATATATTTTATATTTAAAATATGAATAATTGGTGAATGAGAAATTAATTTTTAAATAGACCCATTTAAGTTGAAAAATAAAGAGAGAATGACTTATAAGTAGGCTAAAGTAACATTTATTTTTAAGACAATTTGGTAACCGCAGGCATTGCTAAAGAAGGGAGCAAAGTATGTGGTCGTTGAAGGCCTACCAACCACAGGCTGCTTGACACTGGCGCTGTACCTAGCCCCGCCGGCCGACCGAGACGCGATGGGCTGCGTCGCCACCGTCAACAACCAAAGCCACACCCACAACGCCATCCTCCAGTCCGATCTCGCCGCCTTCCGCCAACGCTTCCCTCAGGCCACCATTGTCTACGCCGACTACTGGAACGCCTACAGATCAATCCTCACCAGCGCCAAAAGCTACGGCATCACCCAGCCCTTCAGAGTCTGCTGCGGCTCCGGCGACGGCGACTTGAACTTCGACCTCTTCGCTACCTGCGGCTCCGCCAACGCCTCCTCTTGCCCTGACCCTTCTGAGTACATCAACTGGGACGGCGTTCATCTCACCGAAGCGATGTACAAGGCTGTTGCCGACAAGTTCGTTAATGGGACGTTTTGTCACCCTCCCTTTAGTTACTTGATTCGCAAGAAAATGACATCCGATTTGCTATAAAGTAATAAGGGTTTTCAGGTTTTATATATAGTCTGTGACGTCTTGAAGTGACTGATGAAGATACTGAAACGCACCTTGATATGTTCTCTTCTCACGGGGAAGGCTTTTGTTTATGAGATTTCGGAGATTTTTACATGGATTCAAACTTCAAAAGTGTTTTTTTTTTTTTTCCCCTTTTCTTTTCTTTCTTAATTGTTTTTAATTTTTATTGGTTATAACTTGGATAATTTCACTATAGTCCATAGATTTTTTTTTTTTAAAAGTAAAAAGCTGCATATATTACTGTAGTAAAGCCAAAATAGAGTCAGGGAGACAATGTCCCAGTACAACAGACTAGCCTGAGCAAAGGCCGCAGAAGCAAGAGTATGGGCTAATGTGTTTGCCGATCTAGGCACTAGGGTAACTAACCAACGGGAAAAAGAAGACATAATAGATCTGCAGTCATGAATAGTAAAACCAATATAGGATAAGAGGGCATCTTGATCAGCCACTAGATAGGGTGCAACTCAGAACAATTAGTGAGCAACTCGACAGCCTCCACCCCTATTATTGAGCCAGAACAACACCTCTTTGTAAGCCATCGACTCCGCCACCATAAGTGGTGAGAAGCATATCGGCAATGAGCCACTGCAGCCCGACGTAAAGCTCCCGTCCGGTGCAAGCATGACAGCACCAAACGTCGCCTTCTTCGTCGTAGGTTGGTAGCCGACGTCTACAAAACATCTGGGAATAACGGCAAGGGTCTCGGCAGTAGTACCTGGGATATTCATCGTAATAGTAGCATGGGTTGCAGCAGTTCCAGCGGGGGTAATAGCAGGGGCCGACGCATGGAGGGAGTGAATAGTCTGCCAGGCTCTCACCGTAGCCTTCGCCACCGAACAGACCTTTTTGGGTAACGGTAGAGCTAGCTCCCATACTACTGAGTTTCTTGAACTCCATAAATGGTACTCCCTCCGTCCCTAATTGATTGTCTCATTTGCTTTTTGCACTGTTTTTAATACAACATAACAAATGTCACTAACTTTCTGATTTTGCCCCTCAAAAGTAGGTGTTAGTTGTACAAAGTACAATTGTACTTATCTCTAGAAATTTGAAAAGTCAAAAGAGTAAATTGGGAAATGTAGAGTGATAGTTATGTTCAATTTTAGAAAGATGGACACTATTTTGGGACAAACTAAAAAGGAAAGTAAGACAGGTAAAATGGGACGGAGGGAGTATAACACTGCCACAAGTAAAAGAATATTCTCCTCAGACAAAGCCTCCAAAGCATTCGAGAACCACATAGTGAAAGAGGTGCCAACTATAGAAGATGTAGGTATGGTGGACTCATTCGAAAGAAGTTGGGAATAGTTACACCAAATTAGAGCATGCATAGTATCCCCATGTCCCAAGCCACACATTGGACACGATGGTTCTACCTCAACTCTCTCTAAAATCAAATTCATAGTAGTGTAACACCCCGTGTTACGACCCCTAAAATCAATTAATCATTTAACCAATTATCCAAAAAAAGAATTAAATTACAATAATTAATTAGGAAAATGCCCACCATAGTCCGTGGGCCCTCACCTCTAAACCCAACCCCTAGTCCTAAAAGGAATAGAGATAGCAAGCCTATAGTATTTGGGCCCTAATTAGGACTCTTAGATATATAAATAGGGGACATAGGAAGCACCTAGAACCCCCACCACAATAATCTCTCACCACACAAGGAGTTCCAAGAATTCCCCTAGGGGAAATCAAGAAAGAAGAAAGACTTAGAGAAAGACCCTTCATAGCCAAGGAAATCAATTAAGGCTAAGAGGTAACCCATGTCTCAACAAAACCTATTTTCTTAGCTATGATCTCCATCTTAGGCATCCCCCCCTATATTCTTGTGTCTTGATGAATTGTTTATGATATTGATGATGTGATCTTGATAATTGGTGATATGATTTTATCTTGATAATCTTGATGATGATAAGGGTTTCTTGATTGTGTGATATTCTTAGGGAATTCGGATTCTTGATGATTATGTGATATTCTTGATAAATTGTATTGGTTCCTGATGTTAAAGGATGAATTACGTTCTTGATGATTTAAATATAATTAGAGCCCTAGGATGTATCGTGAAATTCGTGTGGTGTTATTCTTGATATATTGGGTGGGAATTCGCATGTTTGGGCGTTAATTGTATTTAGGAAGCATGATAGGATACGTGCAATATGTTTCTTGCTTTTGATCCGTTAATTGTCTACGTGGTGTCATCGATTGCGTTAAAAGTGTCTAAGCATGCCTTCGGGTTCCACGATGGATCCCGGGGCGTTTTATTGTGAAAAGGAGTCCCGTGGGGGGTAGGGGACCCGCCACCTACCCGCGGCCGGAATTAGCGTCGCCGACAGCGGGCCGCCGGCGGGCAGGCGACTCCCCGCCGGGCAACCGCTGCCCGGAGACTCGTCGCCGGCGGGCTCAGAGCCTAAGTTTGACCCTTATATAAGTTTCGAAAGTTCAAAAATTTCGGGGTGTTACAGTTGGTATCAGAGCCTAAGTTTGACCCTAGGATAAGACTCTTAAGACTAGGCTTGAGCTCTAGGTATTTAGGAGCATAGGACTTAGGAACCTTAGGACCCGTCGTGAGACTGTGAGACCTACACATAACCTGTAACACCCCAAAATTTCAAAAACTTTTAAAGACTGTATAACAAAGGTAAATGATCATAAATCCCAAAACGTTTATAAGAATACGGGGTGTTATGCCACACCTGAGCTAGAGAACTCAGGTGCACCGGCTAAATTCTAAAACCTCAAACAGTATCAATACAAAGTCATGGCACGCAGGCCGAAAGGGAAAGCTATCTAATCTACGCGCCAAGCCTCTAGCGCGCTCCGGTGATCTACTCGTCTGTGCCTTAAAGCCAAATATATCTGTTCAGCGAGAGATACTGGTAACCCACTCCAACGCATTGAAATACAATACATATAGATATATACATATGAAAAGTCATTTTGAAGCATGAAGATATATCCTAAGAGACTCTAGCTTTCAAAACAGGGAATAGACTCGACAGATAGGGATAAGCACAACCAACAGTTATAACCAAGCATGCACAATTCACAGGTGTAGGAAACAGATATGACAGATAGAGATAAGCACAGCCAACAGTCATAATCAAGCATATACAGTTACTAGCATGTATCCTAGGGTCACGCTTCCATAACAACCCAATCATCCATATCTCATCACATAGCACACTTTGTTGGCGCCACAGGACCAATCGCATGCCCATACATGAGGGTCAGCGCATATAGCTCTGACACGGCCCCGCAGCACCCTGCCCCGTATCGCAACACGGAGGGGTCGATCGCAACCGACCGATGAACCGCAGCTCATCATAGTTTGATCGCAACCAAACAGTGGACCGCAGCCCAAGAGTATGTCATCTGACCGCAGCTAGGAAATATGAACCGCAGCTCATGTAGAAACGTTTGATCGCAACCAAACGGTGGACCGCAGCCCGAGAGTGTAAATCTGACCGCAGCCAGCTTCTGAACCGCAGCTCAGGAATAACCAATCCGATCGCAACCGGATTGGGGTATCATGCACACATAACACATAGCAAGCACATGCAACCCACATTAACACATTGGGGAGGGGGAGAAAACGTATAACAACCTATGCGTGATCCTTCACATACTAAGAATAATCCTAAGGGGTACATACTTCTTTTACCTAGGTCAACGGGATACCAATTCAACTAGCATGCAATATATAAGACTCATACAACCTACGAACGGTACCCGAAATATCAAACTAGACATAGGCACGATAGACGGAGTCCGTTGGGACGCCACGGGGGTCGGGGGAACATCAAACGGGGAAGGCAAAATCCCGAAGTGGGGTATTTTCCAGCGGGTAGCCGGTGGGTGAGGGGTCACCCTCCGGTGGCGTGATTCCGGGCAGCGGGTGCCCGGCGGGCAGCTGCCCGCCCGCCGGCTGCCCGGTGCCGGTGTTGCCCATGTTGGCCGCGGGTAGGTGGCGGGTCCCCTACCCCCACCTACCCCCCACTGACTCTTTTATCACAGAAAACGCCCCGGGAACCATTGTGAAACCCGAAACCATGCTTAGATACTTTCAAACGCAATTGACAACAACACGTAGACAATTAATGGATCCAAAAGCGAGAACATATGGCACATAACCTATCATCCTTTTCTAAACATAATCAACACCCAAACATACGAATTCCCACCCAATATACCAAGAACAACACCATACGAGTTTCCCAATACAACCTAGGGTTCTAATTACTTTTATTTCAACAAGAACACAATTCATCTTCTAATATCAAGATTCGGTAGGAATATCACATAAACATCAAGAGCATCATATAATCATCAAGAATATCAAGAACACCACATAATCATAAAGAACCTCTTATCATCAAGATCACCCATGGAATCATAACACCAATTATCAATATCATTATAACGAATCATCAACACACAAGAATATGGGGGAAATCCTAAGAGGGAAATCATAGCTATGAAAATAGGTTTTGTTGAGACATGGGTTACCTTTTAGCCTTAATTAATTCCTTGGCTATGAAGGGTCTTTCTTGAAGCTTTCTTCTTTCTTGATTTCTCCTAGGGGAATTCTTGGAACTTCTTGTGTGGTGAGGGATTATTGTGATGGGGGGGTTCTAGGTGCCTCTTTAGTCCCCTATTTATATATCTAGGAGTCCTAATTAGGAACTAATATTATAGGCTTGCTAATTCTATTCCTTTTAGGGCTAGGGTTGGGTTTTAGGGGTGAGGGCCCACAGACCATGGTGGGCCTTTTCCCTAATTAATTATTACTCCCTCTGTCCCATTTTGCATGTCTTACTTTCCTTTTTAGTTTGTCCCAAAATGTTGTCCTCTTTCCAAAATTGAACATCACCATCATTCTACTTTTTTCCAAATTACCCTTATGACTTTTGCTTTTATTCCCAAAAGTGAAAAAGTGAAGGGCATAATTGGGAAATACATAACATTTACTTTAATTCTTTAAAAAGCGTGCAAAAAGCAAATGAGACAACAAATTCGGGACGGAGGGAGTATATTTTAACTCTTTCTTTTGGGTGATTGGTTGATGATTAATTGGTTTTAGGGGTCGTAACACGGGGTGTTACACTCTCCCCCCGT